TTTTTTAAATAATTTTTTATAGATATTTTATTGATTTTTTTTTAAAAATTTTGTTGATATTTTATTTAATTTCATTATTTAAATTTTAATAGATGTTTTATTTAATTTCATTATTTAATTATTATTATTATTTAAAATAAAATTATTTAAAATTTTAATTAAAAAAATAGCATATATTTTTATTTATATTTTATTTATTTAATTGTGTAAAAAATAAAATAAAATAAAATAAATTTTTATTTAATCAAGCTAAAAATAATTAAAATATTAAAGATACGTTTAATATTGCTATTACTTAGTAAATAATTGAAAATGGTAAAATAGTCATTTGAGTATTTCCTGACATCTAATCCTATGACTAAACCGACTTGGATATATATCCTATCCAACTAAATAGTCCCAGGGCTATAAATCTCAAGATTACAATCCGATAGATTCTAATCTCTCATTATCCAATCCGTCCAAATAAACATTTTGAGAGAGTATTGGGACATGGTCAAGCTCAAGCATCCTGGAAGTTTGCAAGGTCCGGATTTGGACACGACAAAGGGTCAGAGGTGAAGTTTTGTTGCACCTCAAAGAAAAGGTCAATAAATTTTCTTTGCCGCCAAACTACAACATCAGAGACACAGCCCCTAAAATTGTGTTTGCTTAAAGACTAATTTGAACAGAAATAGCCTTGAACCTAATCATATCTCAATTTTTATCCCATTAGGTAGAAAGGGGTATGAATGGTCAATTTTCCTTGTATGACCACTCAGTATTCATCATAATACTCTTCTAGAGTTACTTAAATCAAAGACTGGCCACATAAAAATCTATTTAAATCGTACAGCTGTTCCAAAATACATAACATCCCATTTGTATACATTATCTAGTCGAGACAGATATGACCCCAAAAAAAGCTGGAACTGAAAACCACAAAATCATTAGTAGAAACAACCATGTCAATGTTTAATTTCTTCTGCAGGTATGCTAGTCTTGTTGGGATGAAATACTAAACTGCCTCCATGATCCTATTAATCTGCTCCACCCAAAGAATCCACTATATGTTGAACCCGGGACAAGTGCTTCTTCCCATTAAGGTGAGAAACCATATGAACCTCACCAGGGCACTTAACATTACAGATAAAGCAACATAATTTAGACTTGTTCACCCCATACCCAGTAGTGTTCTTTACTTCTTTCTGTTTGCGTTGCTCAATAATCCGGTTCACTTGTGCGATGTCCACTTGTTTCTTACTTTTATTTTGGTTTATCCAATCACCAGCAATGGGCTTTTGGGGCTCCTGATTGGCTGTTGAAGACGGGCAGCCCTTGTTTTTGTTTGCTAGCTTGATTGCTTGCTTGATTGCTTTCAGCTCTGCACAAGTGGATTTGTGTCTTCGCCCCTGAAGATGAGACTTCAAGTTTTCTTCACACAAGGTCGTCACCTGACATACAGCACACGTCCACTCTTTCTGAACATTCTCTGAAGCAGGTCTCTCCTTAACTTTGTTCTCTCCACCACCAGCTGCGACAGCAGGTACCTCCTCAACTTCGTTCTCTCTAACATCTTCTATCACGGTCTTTTCCTCAATTTTAATAGAGGTAACTGTTCTCTTCTCAGTTTGAGAAAGATTTGGCTCTTCAACACACTTAACCTGTAGTTAGCAGACATATCTTACATTTTTATATTTTTAGCAAGAAATCAATACGTGTTATGGCTTTGGGAGCTATTTTAGCAATGCATTGGAGATGCTCTTACGATACATAATGCAATTTACAAAACACGAGACATGATATGATACATGAATACTTAAAATTCTTTAGCAAATTTGAAAAAAGCAATTGGACTTAATGTCTAGTAAATTAAAATGTTGTTAGAAATTCTCATTAATGTATTAAAAAATAATATTTTTTTAGATGCGAATGGTACCTTCCCTTCTATTTTCTCTACTTTTTCGAAAAATATCTATTAGTTTAATATGTAAGTATCATATGCGGTTGATTTATACCTACATACACCAGTAAAAGTTTAAAATTTTCTACTATTGACAAACTCGTTGAAAATATTAAAAGCTAAATGGTGAATTAAGGTCTCGTTTGTCGACTATATAATTTAGTCAAAAAATTATCATAAGTTGTCACATCACACTCTATCTTTTTGCACATCTTTTCATAAAAAGCCAAAAAATTACTAAAATAACATGTTCCCAAACGAGGCCTAAGATAGTATTTTATACATATTTTAACTTCACTCTACACTTTATATGCATTTAAGTATTGAGAATTATACATTTTATATGTATTTTATCTTCAAGCAACCTTACTTTTGCAATTTTAAGAATTTTTCATCGTTAGTGTTTTGTTCTCTCAAGATATTTGTTAGGTTTATTTTCTACCTATTTTTAAAGTTGTTAAAAAATCTTACAACAATATGATATGATACAATACAGAGTCAGAAAAATAGAAAAAATGATACATGATTCATATTTTGATTTGAGAACTATGAATACAACAAAAGAAAACTTAGGAATGTAATTGAAGTTAATAAAATGCAACTAAACCAACAAAAAGCAACTGTAGAGGTGGGAAAGGGATATAAGTTGATTATATGAATGAAAAAAATGAATGAAAAATTGCAGCACTTGAGGAACCAAAATATAATGAAAAATACGCTAGCAGACATTACCTGTTCTGTTGCAGTTGTGGAATTTTTCTCGTTCAGTTCTTCTGCTTTGGCATTCTCCTTAGCAACAGCAAATTCTTTGAATTTGGACTGAAAAGGGAAAAACAGATGATTCATAGGTGGTTTTATCTTTAAAGTAGAAACATTACTATGATAGAAAATAAATAGGAAACCTTACCCATTGTGTTGAAGCTGCAAGAATTTTCTCCTTTGGTTCCACTGTTTTGGCATCCTTGTTGGCAACATTAGGCTCCTTGAATTTGGACTAACAAAAAAGATGGTTCATAGAGGATATACTTATCAATGACAAACTCAATCATGGTATAACATTTGTTACACGACTCCAGTATGAGTATCAGGTGTGGGTATGTGTAGGCATCAAAATTCCCTAAACCTTAATCATTTGATATTGGGATATGTATTGCAAGTACATGAATATGTCCTAAACATTTAAATAAATTGTATATCGTATAGAATAACAACGATTTTTTTCTCTTTCCAAATTCTAACCCCATTGGAGGATTATGTCTGTCCCTTCAATCTAAGCAAGACCAACACTAACCCCCATTGGAATTTCACAACAGAAGCTGATAAAACTCATGGATTAGACAAGCAGCATAAGAAACTTTACCTGAATTGCTGCAGCCATTTCTTTTGTCTCAACTGTTTCTTTTGCTACCGTATTTGTTATTGCCTTGATCTCTTCCACATCAATCTTTGGCATTGTATGATTGGACTGAAGCAAAGGCAAAAGGGTAATCAACAGCATATATATATATATATATAGAGAGAGAGAGAGAGAGCATATACTTTGTCATGCATATTCCGTGTATACCCAAATTGAAAAGATCCAAGTTTTTGACAATTATGTATGCATGCATATCAGCATTTGCACGTAATGATCCTATCATATGACATTATAACATGAACTTTGCTGACTCAAAGCCTAATAAAACTGTAGACTCTGTTAACAAACATTTAGCTTTCTACAAAATTTATCCAATTGTTCAAACACTCCTCATTATACATCTTATCTATCATTGACAGGCTTAGTGAGTATGGCATACCTTTCTGTCGATGAGTTTCTCCAAAGCTTCAGATCCGTTCTCTTTAACATACATCTCTGCCACAGCTAGAAAGCTTTCTGCATTGAGAGATACGTTCTCCTTGTGTTTGACAAACTGTCTGATAACTCCTTGTGGATTCACAGATAAACACGGACGAATAAGGCACTCATAAACATAGCAAGCACCATTAAAGTGGGGTAGGCCTAACCAACAAATGGCCATTAGCTTCATGTAAGGCCAGAATGGAAGCCTGACATGCACAAAGGAAATTAGAAAGCACCGCCAAATAAATTGAACAATTTAGAAGGGAAGAAAAGAAAAAAACAGAACAATACTACGTTTTGGGAAAGTCTGGTAAAAATTCTGCGCTCTTAAGATGTATGAGAGCCCAAAATAAAGACCAACTTGGGTACATTTTAGGGACACAACAATGGATAAACAAATGTAGGCTGGGGATTCCCAAGGTGGAAAAGTTGAAAGCCAGGAATAGTTAAGCATGATTGTGCGGTTGGAAGTGTATCGAGCATAGAAGACAATAAGGCAGGGTTCTAATTCAGAAATTTCAAAATATGACAATCTTGCATGATTGGGAGTGTGTTGAGGACAAAGATCCCTTGCCCTAAAGGCTGGACTACTTGATATTTTTTGGACATAGTAAATCCTATTGGCGACATTTAATGTTGAATAATTATTTAATAGTTTTGGAGTACAATAACTGTTAATAATGGGCGCCCATGTGGCATGACCATTTAAATTTAAATTTGATCATTATCCAAATAGGTTTTGAATTTGAATTCAAACCTATTTAGGATAACCACTCAAGATACATATGTTATCAGTTTTAACTGATATGGATAGATATTATAATATATTATATATCTGATATATGGTTATGGGTAATCCAAGTGAGAAACAACGTATAGTCTGTTTCTACCCATATACTGACTCTCTCCCACAAAACAACGATCAAGTCTTTGCACTGTGATTTTGTGTGGGTGATATTCAATCTGTGATATCACTCCCCTGCTGGGTTGGTTCATCAAGAAGTTCCCTGGAAGCACGTGATTTATCCAAGAAGGTTTTATCATTGAAGAAGGTATGATTAATTATTTATTTTATCCGCTGTATATTCTGTGTTTTTAGTTTACAATAACCAACAGCATAACGAATAACTTTACAGATAGAACAATGCTAACCCAACTTTGTTAGGCAGTTGGGAGACAAAACGATTCACTCGGTGTATTTTGCGACTCCTAGGTTGCCTATTATGTACCATGTATTGCCTATGTAGTACTTCAAAACTACTAAATAATTTTTTCTTTTTCTTTTTTAAATATTTGAATGAAGTAGGAGGTGAAGAAATGTATGAAATTTGCGAATATCATTTTCTAAACAAATAAGGAAACAAAAACGAGCTTTGTACTAGAGTGTAGTGCCAGAATTAATTACCACTCAATGAGTTTCACAAAAGCAAGCTCGAAGAGAGAAATCAAAGAGAAAACAATCCAATAAGCCACAATATTTCGCATGTCCGAGTTGGAATTACTCTCGATTGCCCATACTGAGGCATATCTGTCAAACAGAGCACCGAATATAACAAAGCAAAATCCATTAAAACGAGCATTAACATTAAAATTTCGTTTGGTAGCATATGAAATGAGAAAGGGAAAAAAAATGATTATGTTTTCTCACTAATCTCTTTTTTTTTTTCTTTTTCTTTTTTTGAGAAATGAAATAGACAAAATAACAGAGATCTCTCATATTTGCTCACTTAATTTATAAACCAAACAAACATAAGAAAGAGTAATCTTTCCCTTCATTTTTTATCCGTTCTCACAAAATTACTGAACTAAAATTTCTGAATCGCATTAGCATGAAAAGATACCAACTTTACTCTTCACTCATCAAAAACTAGAGAGAGAGAGAGTACTTACAGAGGACAGACCAGAGCAAAGAGAGGCCTGCAAGTGAAATACAAGAATACGTAAGATTATATATATGTATGTATCTACATGCATACGTACGTACATATTTATATATACACACATACACATACACATAAACGTGTATATACAAATCAGGTTGGAACAAAACATAGAGATAAAGCTGAAAATCAACTTCCCAAAGATCGGCTAGTATATCTAACGTGAAAGTTGGACATTCGAAGAGAAAATCAAAAACAGAGAGGGTTAAAGACAAAGTAACTAATAATGCAAAAAAAATTCTTTCACTTTCTTGGTGTAGCCAGATTAAACAAATGATTCATACCAAGCAAGAAAATCGAAGAAGCACTTCAAACCCATCTTGAGAAAACTCACAAATCCCATCTAGAATTGGATCTCTTTCCAACCTAACTTTCTCTTCTAAGAATTTCTTGGGTTTGTTTGTAATAATGTGATGAGATGAGATGAGATGAGATGAGATGGAGATTAAACAAATCAAGACTTTACTTTGTGAGAAAGAGGGACACGAATATGATTCTAGTCGTGAAGTACTTTGTTAATTACGAAAGTGACCTGCTGATGTTGTACGGTACGACTGAGGTAGTTGCGTGGAAGGTCAATCGACAAGTCTTTTTTTTTTTTAAGAACTCACAGCTTTCCTTCGTTTTCTTTCTTGAGGATTAAGAGAAACCCACACGGCCGACATTACTTGAGCTGTGGTGATCCCACACGGTAAGTAAAGCCATAAAAATTTCTTTAAAAAAAAAGTATTTATATTATTAACATTTTATTTTATTTTATTAAAAAAATTAAAGGATTCCATTAAATAGGGATTCTCATTTATTAGACCCCTACTGTTTGAAAAGTTTAAATTACTCTGGTTAACAGTTTTTAAAAATAGTGTTCGATTTATTTTTTTTTCCCGATTCTCTTAATCTAAATAAATTTAAAAATTAAAATACTGATGAAAAATCTTTTAAAAAATCACCAAATATAAAAAAAAATGCAAAAATTCAATATATTTTCAATTTTTTTTTGTCTTCATTGATTTATTTTATTGATTTTTTGATAATTTTTTTAGGTACATCTAACTTATGTACATTTAAAAAAAAAAAAATTGATTAAAATCATAACTAAAAAAAAAATCTATAAACAACATGAAAAATAAAAAACTCAAATTACCTTTAAGACCTTAAAACCAAATAGAATGAATATTTTTTAATTTAATTTTTTACTTATGAAATTTATAAAGTGGCCTCGTCTACAAAAATTTTTGGAGTCTGCAGGGATAAACCAATGCATACGCGCTTCAGACACGTATCCTTAAGGCCCCAAGTGAACAGACCATTCTTGGCATACGATTGGGCTTGGTGGGCCTATCCAGATTTTTGGATCCAGGATAGTGTGGTGATTTGCACCTAAATAATAATTTAATATGTTTAAATAAAATTTTAAAATTTAATTCTTATTATATTTTAATATAAATTTACTAATAAAGATAATATATATTAAATCTTAATATATATATATATATTTTTTCATAATACACCCAAACAACTTATATATGTATTCTTTTTCTTTCTCAAGTTTCAATTATTTTATTTTCTTCTCATTCCAAAACCCCAATCTACTCCATCCAAACTCTCCCATTATTATCAATATCATTGTTTGTTATTGTGTTACTACTTACAACGAAAACAAAAACACAATATGTGCCATTGTATTTTTTCATTGAAAGCCTCTTAATTTTTCATGAAGCCAATCTTTTAAACATCTTCATGCTTCTGGTTTTCTTTGTTCTTTCTCTCTCTTGCCTTATCGCTTCCTGTATTCGAATGTGATGATCATGTATGGATTGGTCATTAATGGGGTTATTTTCGAAAAACTACCAAAACAACAATGATTTAAATAATCTATAAATCATATCTATAAATGTGCATATATATTTATTTGATATTATTTTATATCAATATTATCATATTAGAAGAGGTTGAGAAGGTAGAGATGAAGAGAGGCATGTGTTTCGTGATTTTTCTTTGCCGGTGCCATCATTCTCTATATGTGTACAAAAGAAATATGTAATGAGAAATCTGTTTAAGGATTTTTTTAAAGAATTTTTCAAAGTGGTATAATTTGAGTTTTTGATTTATTTATTATTTGAGTGTACCTTGAAGGGCAATTTAGGAAAAAAAATATGAGGTATATTAAGAATAAATTATAATCCTAAATAATTTAATAGAATGCATAAAAAAAAATTAGGAATACTTGATATTTTTTTTGGGTCCAAACAGAATCTCCCAAGACCATCCATAGTTATATTAGCAAAGTTGGGCTTCACAAGCTCGGGCTATCACATGTGAATTTTTGTTAGCCCATAGAATGGCAACTCCCAAAAATAAAAATAAAAATAGTTAGTTGTTAACAAAACTCTTTATAAATACGTAATGCTTAACTTTTAAATTATAAATTTAGTATAAATCACGAATATATCTCAAGAAATTTACTTAAAATAAAAATTGTCCCTATAATTTTAAAAATTGCATCTCACTTCTTTAAATTTCTAATTTCATAAATCATCAAGTTAATTTTTAATGATGTTAGAAATATATTTCAATTAACAATTCAAGTTATTTTATTATTGTATAGGATAGTGATTGGGAATTTTATTTTTATTTTTTTGTTAATTTTGTTAAATTTTTGAAAAGGGAGCATTTGTAATTTTTAAAATTACAAAAGACAATCTGTATTTTAAGTAAATATCATGGATGATACTTGTAATTTATCCTAAAAATAATGTGAAGGTCATCCACTTAAATTTCATTATTGATGTTCTTATCTTCAATTTTCTTGAAAATAATATGACGATCATATATTAAAAGTGAAGTAGTCCATGAACCTAATCAAATCTCAATTTTTATCCCATAGGTAGAAAGGGGAATGAATAGCCAATTTTCTTTGGATGACCACTTGGCATTCATCATAATACTCTTCTAGAGTTCCTTAAATCAAAGATTGGCCACGTAAAATCCTAGTTAAATTGTAAAGTTGTACCAAAATACATAACATCCCATTTGCATATGAAGTAGCTAACATTTCCTGATTAATACGATATTTTCCGTTTTGGAGTTAGGCAAAAACCAGCAGCTAACCCCTTAGGGCTTTAAAAGGTCTCATACTAGTCTAAGGGATATAGTGGAGCTGTGATCTCTCACGGGGCGATGTGGAATAGTGCACCCATATACTTGCCCAGTGGACTGGCTGCTTGAGCAGGCGAAAACCAGCAGCTAACCCCTCACGGCTTTAAAAGACTTCATATAAGAGAGTTAGTCCATTTATGTAGTGAAGTTGTGATATCTCACAGAGTGATGTGGGATAGTGCACCAACATAACTCCCCTGTGGACTAGCTGCCTGAACAGGGAGTTTTCACTCCCCAGTGGACTGGCTGTTTGAGCAAGAGAAAACTAGTAACTAACCCCTTACGGCTTTAAAAGACTTCAAATAAGGGAGTTAGTCCACTTATATAGTGAAGCTGTGATATTTCACAGAGTAATGCGGGATAGTGCACCCATATAACTCCCTAGTGGATTAGCTGCCTGAGCAGGGAGTTCTCACAGACGACACCTTTAAAAGACTTCATACAAGGGAGTTAGTCCACTTATGTAGTGAAGTTATGATATCTCACAGAGCGATGTGGGATAGTGCACCCACATAACTCCCCAGTGGACTAGTTGTCTCAACTGGCAGTTCTCACAAACGGTGCTAAATAAAGCAGCTAACCCTCCCCAACTAGCATGATATTGTCTGCTTTGGAGTTAGGCAAAAACCAGTAGCTAAGCCCTCACGACTTCAAAAGGCCTTATACTAGTCTAAGGGGGTTAGTTCACTTATGTAATGAAACTGTAATCTCTCACAGAGTGATATGAGATAGTGCGCCCACATAAAATGAAACAGCTAATTGTCACGACCCAAACTTGTCCCCTATAGATTTAGCAACGTAACTGGTCAATAATCATTGGATTACCAAAGGCCTCTAAACAAATTAACATATAATTAGAGGCTATGGAAGCAAATATAGAAATATACATAGTCCATAGAGCTATGTAAACATACACGGTACATATAATTTAAAACTTTGTATATATATATATATATATCTATATATGACATCATAGACATCCATCCAACCTTGTCATTATACATGAATAGAACAAAAGAACTGGTCACAAAAATAGCAAAAGTCTCAAGCTTATGTCATGGTTTACAGAACTCGACCGTTGAACTCTTTCCGGAATCTCCTCGGGAGGCACAATGGTTGGTCGACAAAACAAAGACTCCAGGTCATCAACTCTGAGCCTAGTCACGCGCCTACATACATAATATAAATAGTGAGCGAAGCTCAATGAATAATAATAGAATAAAGATTTTAATGAATGATGTCCAGTTTCATATCATATCAATAAGAGATAAGCATAGTCATGTCAAAACAAAGTCATGTTCATATGTGTGGTACTTCCATTAGCATTAACATATCTCTTTGGTCAAGCATATCAAGTTCCATAATGGAACCTTCGATACTGGATAACATATCTCTTACATGAGCCACGTTATTGTTTCTCCCGGGCGAGGGCTTGGGCCACGGTATTGTTTCCCCTGGGCGAGGGCCTCATGACCATAAGTCAGAGTATTATGTCCCCTGGGCGAGGGCCTCAGCTAAGGATACCGGAAATACATTTCAAGTTATGGATCATCATTCATGGAATCACAAAATTGCCTTTCGTTTCAATAAGAAACATTTCATATCATATCAGAATATTTAGAAAGTATTTTCATATCAAACATAGCTTTACTAAGTTATTACTCACAGATAATTGCACAGATAGCTTGCTAGCAACCAATGAATCAGCAGCTTACGGCGTGTGACCTACACAAACATAACAGATACACATATTGAAACACAAGCTCGGATTGTACTTAACTTACTTCATTTCATTCTTTGTGTAGTCTTATCCTTATTATTATGTCTTAATCTAGGCCTAGGAATGCCTATGATGCAATGAGGATGCTAAAATGCACTAGAAAACACTTACTCAAATATGCTGAAAACAGGGGTCTCGTTCGAGCGTAACTTCCTTTGCTTGAGCGAACATCCAAACATGTGAGTGGTCGCTCAAGCGGTCTATAAACTTAGCAAAAGTACTGGTTACTTAATTTTTCCGCTCGATGCACGCTCAACAGTCGTTTGAGTGTGAGACTAAGGTCTTCGCTCGAGTGCAACTCTTGTCGTTTGAGCGGTTTGCAAAAATTTTAAAATTCTGAGAGCATGCATTTTACGCTCGAGCCAACTTTTGGTCGCTTGAACAAGAGTGCAAAATACAGAGTGGTCGCTCGAGCACAGGTTCTGTCGCTCGAGTGCGCTCCAGCGAAGAGATAGAATCTAGAATTTCCAGATTGTTCTTCCAAGTTCAAAACTCAAATCCAAAGTCTCAAGATGCAACGTTTGGGCCCCAAAACTTGAGAA